CGGTGAGATCAAGTTAATTTTTCAACTAATGAAATTACATTGTCAAGGAATATTAATATAAGAAGTTATTAACAAAACATTAGGATAATAGAATTACATGCATTTTTACAATAGGATGATCCACTAATGATAAAATCAAATCTAATTTTCTAATATTTACATGCAAATATAGTATAAATCAACGTTCTAATTACAATAAATGCAAATTAAAAACATTTTTGCATCCCAAAAAAAAAATTCTACACACTAACGCGTAACTACCATTATTTCTCATATTGACATAGAAATCTAGAAAAAAATAAAGTCGGAAATTTTTTAAATGAATTAAATCTATTAATCTAGGTAAAATCACTATAACAATAACTTGAATCTTTGTCCTACTTTCTTAATTTATACACTATGCTCAATGTAAAAATATTAATAATATACATACGGAAAGTGGTGATTGGCATGATTTATAATATCCAATAATATTTTTTATTCTTTGTTGATCCTTTTCCCAATCACGTTGAAGAAAAAGATAACCAGCATGTTGACATGCCCAACCTATCGGAAAATGATATTACATAATAATAAGAAAATAAAATATTGACTCTTTTTTACCTATTCCTGGTACATGTTTAAGTGAAGCTTTCATAACAATTTTAAGTTGTTCAAGAAGTTGAAATCGACTATGTAACATCCATATATACATCCAATCAAGTCTTGTTCGATGATTTAATATAATAATTGAACGATATTTACCTTTTGTTAAATCATCACCGGTAATAACTATTTTAATACCAAGGAAATCTTCCAAAAGACACTGAAATATATGAAATTACATAAAATGAAAAATGAAAAAAAAAATAAATTTACTGTTATCATTAGAAGATAATAACTCAAAAGAAAAGAACACCAACGAAAATAAAATCTTCGATTAAGAAATATAAATGGAACGGCTGGTGTTAAAGCAAAAACAAGATTAAAACATATACCAAGAAGTACGATTATATAGAAAACAATTGCTTTTATTGAGTTAACAATAGACATTATTGCAATAGTGGATATGTTTATCTGACTTGTATAAAACAATTTTATTTTCCATTTTTTATATTCTATCGTTTTTATTAACCAATCATAAGAATTTTTTATTGATTGAAATATTCTTTTTTTGAGGACATGATCAAATCTATTTTCTAATCAATTTATTAAATAAATTTATTATTATTTTATTTTTTTATCAAGAAGAATATAGAAAGATTTTATGAATTAACAATGCATTAACATGAATCAAAGAGGTCTACTAATATTATATGATTCGTTTAAAGAATGAACAAATAAAAAACAAGATGATTCATTTTAAAAATCGAGGAAAACACACCAAAGAA